GAGAAAGAGAGAGGAAGAGAAACATTGAAACATTGGTGTGAGAGAGACACATCAATCGGTTGCCTCCTTCATGCGCTCTGGTTGGGGCGGGGATAAAAACTGCAATGCAGGTACATGTTTGACCGGTAATCAAATCTGTGACCCTCCAATGTGCAGCCAATAGGCACTCTGTGAATGTTGGTTGCATGCATAAATGACAAGAACATGTTTCTAACTAGTAAGAGCCATTTTCTAGGGACCGACTTGTAAGACAGTCTACCCTACAGCCATCCTACTACTGAGGATCGTGGTCATCAGCTATGCAACTCTGGCCAAGCATTCTTATAATTCTTCTTTCCAACCTGTCCCGCAGTGTTCTTGGTTTCTTTTCTCCCCCCACCCCCCCATCATTCCAGTTTGTATTCTTCCCCTCTGTTCTTTTCCTTGTTCTGTATTTCAAATTCTTACATACTAGTAAACTAAATGCATTAATTATTATTGAGATAGTATATGCATATAATACAAATATATCTGTACTTGACAAAGGCTTCCTCTACCTGCTCCTCGTGCCACCACCCTAACCACTACACTACAATTAGTCCCCATTGGCTTTTATTCTGAAATAGTCTCTCATTGCAAGTATTGCATCATTTCCAAAGCGAGACCTAAGAAAGTCCCGGCCTGTCCAAGTCAGGCACGGAGTGCTGAGCTGGGCATTGGATTACTTGACTCATCTAATAAGAGTTTTAATGTCTTGCTCAGGAAACTTGTGGAATCTCCCTCTCTGGAATAATTTTTTGCATACAAAAATTCTCATTTCCTGCAATGGTTTAATTCTGGCTTAAAGGCAAAGCCATAAACTTGATGACTTAGAGAGACTAAGTTTCTGTGATTTCAAGATTTTTTGTGAATTTTGTGAAGACACATGAATATAAAAATTAAATATCCTTTAGCTATGGTTTCTTTCTTAAATTGCGCTAGTTATAAAAATGTATATTCAGCTCTCCCAGGTGGTAAGTTTGTCAGCAAGCAACAAAAATGGAAGACATCTACCAAACTAGGACCAGCGGCATTTCAGAAAAAGGCACAAAAATACCAAACAGAATTTGAGAAGGACTGGTAGAAAAGATAAATCAGAGAGCAGCTCTGAAGTGGGTCTTGAATCAAGAGGATACCATTAGCTCTGCTTTCCTGGGAAGTCAAAGTAGCTGAAAAATGTAAAAGACAGTAATGTTGTTAAGACAAGGCCAGTTGTTGCTGTCTTATTTTAAGTCTGCTGTGTTATTTCTGCTTGGCTACCACAGACTGGGTGCCTTAAACAACAGAAATTTATTTCTCTCAGTTCTAGAGGCTAAAAGTCCAAGATCAAGGTGCTGGCAGGGCTGGTTTCTCCTGAGACTTTTCTTTGGCTTGCAGATGGCCACCTTCTTCCTATGTTTTCACATGGTCTTCCCTCTAGATTTCTGTGCCCTGATCTCCTCTTATGAAGGCCCCAGTCATAATTTAATTACCTCTTTAAAGACCCTATATCCAAATGCAGTCCCACTCTGAGTACTGGGGGGTTATAACTTCAACATACCAGTATCAACTTTGCGTCAGGGGACACAGTTCACCCCATAGCAACTACCATTTTCTCCCATGACTATTCTTTCCATGCATGTTTTGTAAAACCTTCCATTGTACTCTCCTTAGAGAAAGAGCAGGCCATTGTGCTCTTTGGTGAGCTGATTCAAACCTGTCCTTGAAGCCCCCAGAAGCCTCCTCACTGAGTGAGGCCATGGTGCCTCCCTCTCCTTGCCCTCCAGCTCTGCTGTGTGGTTCCTCTATGCCCCAGTTCTTGCCTATTTACTTCTCTTGGCTACACCCTAGCTCCTCCCTCCTGAGCTCCTGTGTGAGGGCTCCATAATATTCCTTGTTGATGATGGCACATCAGTGCAGATTAAAATCACTGGGGATGTTGGTATCTTTACACTGTGGTGTATGCCTGTGAAATAATATGTGAGCTGAGGGTGGAGGGGGAGGAGTGATTGGCATGTTTATGGTGTGGAGGCAATTTTTATTGATGAAGGAGAAGCCGTGAAAGTTCTGAGTAATGTGTTCTTTTCCCCAATTCAATTTCCACATTCTGCAACTGGGGAAGGAAAGAGAAAGTCAGGAGGAGCTTGACTCATGATGATCCGAGGAGGCTCTCGCTAAGGAAAGTGGTCACGTGGACTTCACATGCTGGGTGGAGGCAGCCTCTCCCCGAAGAGGGAAAACTGGCAGGCACTCAGTGCTCAGTACGTGATTAATTGCTGTGTTGATAGAACAGTGCAGGCCTTCTCACCCAGAGCCCAGGCCCCAGGCCTGCCTTTCCTAACGAAAGCAGCTGCCTGCTGTGGCCTAAATAGCTGGGGTGGGGGCGGGAGTAGGCTGGAGGAGTGACTTTTTCTCATATCCATGTGCAAAAGACTGCACTTCAAATTCTATAGCCCTAAGGGCCAGATGTCAAAAGTAAGTGACAAGTATTGGGATGGCAACCTCTTCATGGCATTTAAAATTGTTGCCCGCTCTTCCCTGAAATGTCCCCTTCTTGCTTGAAGCTTTCTCCTTCTGGGACCATGAGTTTCTGGTACATTCCTGGTTTTTCACCATGTGATCATTCTTTAGTGTTTTGCTGGCCCCTTACCCCTATGTCCCTTAGATGACGCCATTTCCTCGCATTCACTTCCCACTTCTCTCTTCTCTTCTCTCTTCTCCTCCCTCTCTCTAGCAATCTCATCTCACCAATAGGGTTCAACTCCCTACACCTCTACAACTCCACCTCTCCTGAGAAGACCAGGTCTAATTTTCAAAGTGGAAGCTCCTCTAGGCAAGTGGTTCTTAATCTTAGCTGCCCTGAATAGAATCACTTGGGATAATTTTTTTTTAAATCCTGAAGCCTAGGCTACACCCCCCAGACCCATTAAATTAGAATCTCTGGGTCAGAAAAAAATCAGGCATCAGTATTTTTAAAAATATATATTTATTGATTTCAGAGAGGAAGGGAGAGGGAGAGGGAGAGAGAGAGAGAGAGAGAGAGAGAGAGAGAGAGAAACATCAATGATGAGAGAGAATCAATAATTGGCTGCCTCATACATGCCCCACACTGGGGATGGAACCTGCAACCTTGGGTATGTGCCCTGACTGGGAATCAAACTGTGACCTCCTGGTTCATAAATCGACGCTCAACCACTGAACCATGCCAGCTGGGCAGTATTTTTGAAGTCATTTTTAATTCTCTCACCTATGGATAATTGGCCTTCTTCTGACCTCCTGCAGTTCTTTATCTGAACTGTTCTTAGAATTCTGATACTTTTTTTAAAAGTCTGGCTCAAGTACTAGACTCTGGGTCTCAAATCCTGGCTTTGACACTTACCAGCTATGAGACTTTAGGGAACTTTGTTCATCTATCTATGCCTAAGTTTCCTCATCTGTAAAATGGGTTAAGAGAGGGAATAATAATAGGACTTACCTCATAAGGTTGTTAATTAGAAATTAAAAGCCTAGATCAGTACCTGGTATATAACAAGACATCATTAAAAACCAGCTATTATAGCTTTGAGTAGTCACTAGGATTTTAAGTGATACATTTATGTCTGATCCAGTGGTTCTAGAACTTTAGCTTATATAGAGACCTACCTGAGAGTAAACCTGACCTAATTTACCTCTGGATCCTCTCCCACCCACACCTTCAGCCTAAGGACTGTCAGGAGGTCAACCCTGCTAGAACTTTCCTAGAGTTCAGACCCAGAGGTCATTCCCCAACAGCCCACTTGATCCATCAAGTCCCCAGGTTCCAGAACTTGCCTGACGCACACTCTCAGAACAGAGTCCCGACCCTTTCGTACCAATCTAGAGTTTTCAAGGAATACGATGGATTCTGATGCAAGCATAGTTCAAAAACAACCCCAACTCTGTATGAGAAGTCAAAGGTTGGTACAAAAAATTAAGAGTGGGCAAAGTTTGCCTTTATGTGATCTTCCTTCGAAATGGCCCCCTTCTCTTTTAGCTGACATTAAGGATTTCACAGGAGTTAGTGACTGACCAGAGCCCATGGCTTGCTGTATCTCTGTAGATTTAAATCACTTTCTCAGACAAATTTTCTCTTTAAGGTCTTCAGGCACTAACCCCACCCCTCCTTTTTTTTTTTTTTTTTTTTTTTTTTGTTAATCCTCACCTAAGGACATTTTTTTCCATTGATTTTAGAGAGAGTGGAATGGGGGGGGGAGAAGGAGAGAGAGAGAAAGAGAGAGGAAGAGAAACATCTAAACATCGATGTGAGAGAGACACATCAATCGGTTGCCTCCTGCATGCGCTCTGGTTGGGGCCGGGGATAAAAACTGCAATGCAGGTACATGTTTGACCGGTAATCAAATCTGTGACCCTCCAATGTGCAGGACAATGCTCTGACCATTGGGCAACACAGGTCAGGGCTCAGGTACCACCTTTTAATGAAGGAAGAATACTGTCTTCTCCCTCAAATAAGCTAGATGCATTTTATGTGTTTCCTCCAAGAGAGAAAAGAGCTCCTTTATGGTGCTCTTGACCCCGATTCTGGCTTCTCTAATTAGGTTGCAGCACTAGGCATTTTTCTTAATTTTTCTTCCTAGGAAGAACATGTCCACCATTGTATCTGGCTCTCTGCCCTTGTGCTGTTTATTTTTTTCCACCTCTGTGCAGCCAAGGTATCTAGCTCATTGCATTCTCCTTTTAAGCTGACTCTTTTTGTTTGTTTGTTTCCATTTTTGCTCAAGTCCATTACACTAAATACTGTACACATTATTATCCCCTAAACAATTTTACTCTATCAGTTTTATCGAGCAAGGTCAGGGCCCAGCGAGCTGGAAGAACAACACTTGAATTGGCTTTCAACCAAAACAGCCAACATCACCCTTCCTTCTCAAATCCACATTGCTCCCAGAGGGATGGAGCTTTACGTCGGTGAATAATGTATTAATTAAAGCAAATGAAAATGCCCTCATTTGTTGTAATGAATTTAGTTCTTGCAGGCCATTTTCTATGGGGTCGCTTGCCTGGAAGATGTGCTGAAGAGAATGAAAGGAAAAAAAGACATTAAGTTCATAACTGCCTTCAGAGACCTGCTTTTCACCACACTGGCTTTTCCTGTATCCACAGTGAGTTCCAAAGATGCATATGCAATGTAATACACATGTGCATATGGGCGAACGCGTCTCCTGGGTGGCAAGGCTGTTTCGAGTCCATTATTTTAGACCAGAACAACTGCATTTGCATAAATGTCCTGAGATCTGCATCAGGAGCACAATACTGACAGAATTCTCATTAGCTTTTGTGTCTTTGTGAATGTTTGATGCAAGATCCTTATTGCTGTTCTAATAGGGAAGTTTAAAGGGCCTTTCTTAATCAAAATACAACTGAGATAACCTTGGTTCCAGCAGGGGGATGGGAATGAAGAGTGCTAGGGAGATAGATAACTCATTTTCCCTTTTATACATCTTGTTTCACTTGCTGCAATTAGCACGTGTTACTTCTGCAAGTAGAAACCATACAAAAGAGATATGGGAAATTTCAAAGTTGGCACATGAAAACGGCAATTGAAGCGAGAGACAATCTGTCTGAAATACCTGGTATGGGGCACAAAATGGGTGCCTCATTCATTTTGTTGTATGAATGGACATTGGAAAGAAGCAAGAGCAAGACTAATGCAAGGGAGAGTCAGCTTGTTTGCTGACACTGTCCACACTTCTATGACACTGCTTATGTTTTCATTCATTAGTTAGAATGGAAACAAGCAGATCAAGCGCGCCAGCTGCCCAGCAGGACCTATAATTAGACATGACTACCTCCTTCCACTTGTCATTGTCCTGCTTCCTGAAGTATTGAGACTTCAAACTTAAATGCAAAATGAAGCTCCCCAAACTCTGAGTTCCCAGATTACAGAGCAAATCCTGGTATTCCAGCTTCACTTTGCAGGATACCTCCTCCGTCACCCCCATAAATCTAAAGGCCAAGTTTTATATAACAATGGAAGTTATTCATTTTTTAAGGCTTAGAAATTGAAGCTTTGGAATTTAAGAAGATAAGAAAGTTGGAAAATTAATAGTTTCTCCCCCCCCGCCCCCATTTTTTCATTGACTTTGATATAGAGCACAGACACTTCGAAAAGACACCCAAGGGCTATGCGAGAATGGGGATGAACCTAAACCTCTGAGCAATGGAGAGATCCAGCTCTCAGTTAACTAGCTTGGGAGTTTGTCACTACTCCCCCCTCCCCTTCCTACTTCCCCTTGCCATGTCTATGTAGGGGGTGGGCAAGGAAAGTGTAAGACTCAAGGCACTCCATGTGGCGGCTCTCAGCACTCCTGGTGAGCTTAAAGAAGAGAGGTCATTGGTTAAAATGAAATGACTTAATGGTCTGCAAATCCTGTTTATCTTTATCCTTTCTGCCTGCCACAGTGACAAATAATTGATCCCTAACTCTCCAGACTCCCCAGAGAATTGATATTACAATTCTACGATATGGAATTTTTTTCATTTTACATTTTTATAATGTCTTTAAAACTGGTATTTATTTTTATTTTGCTATGTTTTTTAAAAAAGCTCTGATTGAAAACAAACCTAATGCTATTTTTGTGTTTTATTTTCCAGTTTGTATTTTTGACATTCTGGCTACTCTTTCTCTATGACCGAGAACTCGTTTACCCTAAGGCCCTAGACGGTATCTTTCCAGTGTGGCTCAATCATGCAATGGTGAGTGAGGGGAAAATTTAGTGAATATAGAAAGGCAACAGCCTTTGGATTGAACTCCAAAGTGCCTTGTTTGTTTCTGAACTTTTCCTCAATCTCCAACATCCTGTTCTCTCCTCCCTCTCCGTCTTGTCACTATTTATTTAAAGAGCTCATTGAGGATATAAAATGAACAAAAACTGGTTCTGTGATTGCAGTCACTGAGAGCAGAGGGGTGTCCAGGAAAGACTCTGCCAAGTTACATATGAAGTCATTGAAAAGACACGCAACCATAAGGGCAGGCAACTTCTGGGTGGCTGCTGTCCTGAGAGAGAAGTGACTTCAATAAGTAACATGTAATGAAAATTCTGGTCCAGGAATGGAAGTAAGCAAGCTTAAGAAAATCCACCCCGACATCCAAAGACTATCTCAGAGCTCAACAGCAGCTTCTTAGCTAACACCTGATCAGGACTATTCATCGCAAGTGAAATTATTATTTACATGTTTCTATGAACACATTCCCGTTTGTTTTTTTATTCATGGACGTATTTTTAAAGGGCTAAATAGTAAACCTGACTTACTCTGAGATATTCAGGATAGTAGTGTCTGAATCCAGTAACAGTGACCTGGACAAGCGGAGTGGGAGCGAGGCTGTCCAGGTCTTGGTTGAAGGATGGGCCTGAGTCACTGGCACTACATGCATGAAGAAATCGTTCAACGTCTAGCTTAGCTGTTTCACACCAATGTATTTCACATTAGTTAGGAGTTCAGAATGAGGTTTCAGAGTCTGTGAAGCAAATGACATTTAAAAACCAGCGAAGATCACAAGGGACTGGCATTATTAACGCGCCCCAAGATCACAGACTTTCTTTGACCTACACCCTTCCATTGTTCTAACACTCACATGGTTACCAATCCAGAAAAACAGCTCAGTCCACTGACTCTGCCCTTCCACATACCTCATTCCTCAGTAAAAATGTAGTTTCAGTTTTAAACATGTGTTCAATGAGGTACTGATTACTGACTAAGATATCCAAGTTCTAAACTAATTTAGAGTTTAGGACTAAAAACTATATATCAAAGAAATCTCACTTCTCAGGGACCCTCTCCTACCACCTTCTTTTGTCTGACCACTTCCTTTGGGGAATGTCTGACCACCTTTCTAATTCCCATTAATGTTAACCTGAGACACCTATGTAGGGAATATTCCTGCTTTTTCATGGTACTTTACGAAGCATGTTCCTCAAATATGAATTCATTTAATTCATGCAACCTTCTTTCGATAACAACTACAATCCTGATTTTTACAAATTAGGGGAAAAAGCTCAGAGAAGTTAAGTGATTTGCCCGGAGCCACAGAGCTGGTAAGTGGCGACATTAGGATTTAAATCCAAGGCTAATTCTGGTCCCCCTTATCTTTTGCTGCAGTGAGTGCAGAAGTGAGGTTTGATCTGGTTTCATAATTCACCAGGCAAGAAAAGATTGCTTGATTAACACAGCAAAGTGAGAATTTTCACTTAAAAAATCCGGAATCCCCATCTGTATGCTAATAAGACCAAACTTGATTTACAAAAATGAAGTGATTTGGGATAACTGACTGAGCTAGATGTTGCTAAACTAAAAAAAAAAAAAAGCAGACTCTTGAAAGTGTCTTTTATTTGGGGCCAACCACATATATCACACCTTTTCCAGGCTTGGTGAGCTCATGTAGTGTTTTCCTGCAACTGTTCCAAGCTTTCCAGCTCTTTAGGTTCATTTTCCAGTGGAAGTAAGGTTGGGTTTCTTTCAAATACTTGCTTTGGTGACACCCAGTTTCTGTGACCTTGCTAAACAGCCATGTGGATTTTTAGATGGCTGTACAATGTACATCACATCCAAGAGCAAAGAGTACACTGTACAGCAGAATTCCTAAAATGTTTTTATGCCTTCACAAATATTCCTGCTTTTTCATGGTACTTTACGAAGCATGTTCCTCAAATATGAGTTCATTTAATTCATGAAACCTTCTTTCGATAACAACTATAATCCTGATTTTTACAAATTGGGAAAAAAAAGCTCAGAGAAGTTAAGTGATTTGCCTGGAGCCACAGAGCTCACTAGGATTTAAATCCAAGGCTAATTCTGGTCCCCCTTATCTTTTGCTGCAGTGAGTGCAGAAGTGAGGTTTGATCTGGTTTCATAATTCACCAGGCAAGAAAAGATTGCTTGATTAACACAGCAAAGTGAGAATTTTCACTTAAAAAATCCGGAATCCCCATCTGTATGCTAATAAGACCAAACTTGATTTACAAAAATGAAGTGATTTGGGATAACTGACTGAGCTAGATGTTGCTAAACTAAAAAAAAAAAAAAGCAGACTCTTGAAAGTGTCTTTTATTTGGGGCCAACCACATATATCACACCTTTTCCAGGCTTGGTGAGCTCATGTAGTGTTTTCCTGCAACTGTTCCAAGCTTTCCAGCTCTTTAGGTTCATTTTCCAGTGGAAGTAAGGTTGGGTTTCTTTCAAATACTTGCTTTGGTGACACCCAGCTTCTGTGACCTTGCTGAACAGCCATGTGGATTTTTAGATGGCTGTACAATGTACATCACATCCAAGAGCAAAGAGTACACTGTACAGCAGAATTCCTAAAATGTTTTTATGCCTTCACAACCTGGGGTTTCTGTTTGTTCCTAGTCCTTTAGTCAATGAAGTAACCTGAATATCTCAGAGAGAGGGGGCTAGGGACAAAGGAGGTGGGGCAATGGTGATAAAGAGAAAAGAGGAGGGGGCCACCTGTCTTCAATCAGACACAGACTCTGTGATTCTGTTAATTTAAATGGAGGAACTCCCAGCAGAGCATTTCTAGGGGAAAAGGTTGGCATCCGCAAAACCAGCTTTGGGTATCCCTACTGTGATCATCAAACTTCCATGCTTCCTTTTGGTGTCTGCTTCAAGTCCAGTGTCCTCATGACTGCACCTCATCCCTCTCTCCACATGTGTCTCCTATTCTGGACATTTTCTGTCCTCATCATTAAGTCCTTCTGTCCTATTGTGTCCAGGAATGCTTTCTGCTAACTTCTTAAATACTAGTATAAACAAATATGGAAATGGCTGTTACCCGGTTACTTGTTAACACAGCCTACATTTTAACAGTGTCCTTCCATGACAACCCAAAGGAATCAATACCCAGAAGTCACCACTGTGGCAGCCAGAATGATGATGGGCAGTCAGGCTAGGATTGCCTACACAGTATGTGGAAATTGCTTCCTGTACTGCTCCTTTTTCTTTCTCCTACATTTGGTACTAGTTGCCTACACAGTATGTGGGAAATTGCTTCCTGTACTGCTCCTTTTTCTTTCTCCTCCACAATGTAAGAATTACTGGCACACATAGCCAGTGTCAAACTTTCCTGAAAGGTTCCTTCATTTCACAGCAGTTACGTTTTCGATTTTGTCCTTAGCTTGGAAATATTTCCCCTATTGCCATTTGTGATGATGCCCTGCATTTTATGAGTAATATTTGTCAAATTAATAAATACCACTCTCTCCTTTGGCACAGTGAAGTTCTAAAACTTCCATGATTTATCAAATCTTTGGAATCCTCCCAGTGCAAGCTTTTTAGCTCACTGGAGACTTGTCATTGCAGTAGGACCATTCAAAGCTGACTGTCATCTCTAATGGACATTTTTCTACCTTTGTCTTGTATTTAAACCAAATAGTAACATCAGTGAAATATTTGCACCAATCATGGACAGGCTGCCATTCACTGGTGCCCTAAGAACTCCCATTTGAACCAGCTGCCTTATTTAAAGTACATCAACCTGATGATTTTACTGCTAACAGTTCTCCAGTCTTCATGAAAGAAGGGAAAGTATCCCTCCAGGCTTGCCAGGAAAACATTAGCTCCTCAGGACTTATCAAATGACTACTAAAGCTAGAATGAGAGCAGGCAGCTTTAAATAGCAGGGAGAGGACTCAGCAACTGAGGAAACAATCAGATGCTAACCCGAAGGGAGCTGGGGCACATATTTCTCAGGAAATCAATCTAAATTGCTCAAGTTTCCCCCAAAGAGGGGGGAGATAAATCAGGGAACCCATTCAGAGCCTCTTGTACGTTTGAAAATAGTACACAGTTGTTGAGAACGTGGTGTAAGTGTTGCTGTGGAAGTGGGGTCTATGGGGTGTCACAAGAAAAGTCATGTTTGGAGGCCCACAGGGGAGGATGAGGTCTGGTGGTAAGGTTTATTTGGGTGAAAATAGAAGGCTGCCTCCTGGTTCCCAATGTCCCATCTCCATCTGTCCTGCCGTGGACTACCAGTGCCAGAAATACTGCTATTGGCCAGAGTTCCTGTGCCATAGTAAAGCTCATCCAGTCCAGCCTTTCTCTCCATCCAGCTAGCTTAGCCGGTGTTCCCATCTATAATCCACTGCTGTGCTGTACACAGGCTCCTCCCTGGCTGCACAGCTGCTAAGGCCATGTGGCTATAGAGAGAGAAGATGCTAGTTCAAGGGGTGAGCATGGGTTAGGGGGTGAGAGAGAACTCTTCTTTGTTCCCTGGAATTATATCATCTCAGGCTTGGGAAGGATCAGGCACTTTTTCAAAATAGCCAACCAACTTCCCAAGCTTTTGATGACTTCTAATGAATGGGTCCACCTCCCAACCAATCTCTTCTTTCCCCAGGCTAGATTGACAGGCCTCTATGGTCAAGCACCTCCCCCTGTGCCGTTTTGACTTCTCTTGTGTATGCGCTTACCTCTCTCTGTACCCACTCCCTAATCCAATACCAAGAGGGGAAGGGAGGGGTGTTAAACCTTGTGGGGCAATACTGTGATCCCTTGGAGTGTGTGAAGCTGTGGTTTCCTGGTGTAACAATAATGTTTGATTTCTTTTGCTTCCTTTCTTATTAATATCTAGCTACATACACTAACACAATACTTTGTAAACTATCAAGGACTGCATAAATATGCTATTATCATGTAAAACTCTTAAACCATGCTCAGAGTTTTAGAAGTAAAAGACTTCATTCACAAACAATCTGCTC